CAAACCACCAAGGCCTGATGAGGAGTCTGGACAGTCACTAGGAGTTGGTGAGGACCTTGATCAGTGAAGAGCTGTCCCATGAAACTGCGAAGGAGGTGACAATCACATTCTAAACAAAGCTAGATGATGGAGTGTGGGGCCAACTGAAGTGCGCCTCCCAGACCTGGGAGCCTGGGGAGGGGAGGCCCCGTCCTGTCCTCGTAGATGACAGCTGGTAACAGAAGTGAGGAGGGCTCTGGTCAGATCCGGGCAGGTTGGCCCAGCTGGTGAGGGTCACTGTGGAGGTTTGTTCATGGGGTGAAGAAGATGTAACCATACAGTTAGTGGTGAGAAAATAGGGCCCTGATTTGACTACACAGAGCCTCAGAAAATTTGCCCAAAAGTTGCAGGGTTTTCGAGTAAAGTTGAGGCCTACCGTATCTCTGGAAGAGGACAAGGCGTGTGGGCCCCGAGACATGCAAGGCAGTACGAAAGTCGGGAGAGCCCTAGGCAGGCAGGGTCTTGCTGCTTATCTTTCAGAGCAGGAAGGGAGATGGTGTCAGGGCTCTGGGCTGCTCAGAGTCTGCCTCATGGAATTTTAAGTTTTGGCAAGATCCAATTCCCCAGCACCTCTCCAAGCCTTCTTCTGCAATGCTGGCCCCTGTCCCGGAGGCTGTCCTCCCCCATGCCACCCCTCCCCATACAGATCCAAGCTGTTTCCTTATGAGGTCAAAGAATTCTAAGTTTGCCTTCTCCCCTAGGAACACCCCGTCCCCCGGCACCTACCTTGCCACTCTGCCTTTTATCCCCTCCTCCTCCAGTCACCCCAGTATGAGGTCCCACCACCAGTGGCACCAGGAGCCTGACTTGTGATGGTCCCCTGTGCCCAAGCCCACCTGGAGACCAAGTCCAGGTGCACTGCAGGCAGACCCATCCCAGACCACCAGAAAGCAGGAGAGCCCTTGATTGTCAGAGCCCAGAGGCCCTTGGCACCACCCTTATCACGATCACATAGTCGAGTAATTAGGGGCCCAGAGAGGGAGGAGACTTGCGCAAGGGCCCCGAGTGCAGCGATTCATTCATGGATTGTTCCCCCAGTTGGTACCTAGTCCTGGGGTTATGATCTGGACAGTGTGGCCCAGAGAGGGTTCTGTGTCAGCAAATGGGCTATTGGGGGAAATCTGGGGCCTCAAGTGGAGTCTTCCTGGGAACAGGTGGGTAGAAAATTATAGGGAAAAATAATATCAACAAGAATACATTCCTCAACATTCAGGTCCAAGGAGACAATTGTTCATTGAGCTGTTAATGTTTTCTTTTTCTTTCTTCCTTTTTTTTGGGGGGGTAATTAGGTTTATTTATTTATTCTAATGCAGGTACTGGGGATTGAACCCAGGACCTTGTGCATGCTAGGCATGCACTCTACCACCAAGCTATACCCTCCCCTCTTGAGCTGTTAATGTTTTCTTAAAGATCAGAATCTTAATCCTTTGGTTCAATACAAAACTTAAGTTTTCTCTTCAAGGATGTTAAAAATCTTATAGGTTTTGCCTGGCAACAGAATGCTGTAAAACGTTGCTCAGATAGTAACAAAAGTCATAAGATGGTGAATATTGTGAAAATTAATGTGTAGGAGGTGGTCACAATTAATATGTACCAGTGAGTGATTAGCTGACCAAAAGCCTCTCAAAGAACGCCTTGTGTTCCAAGCCTAGAAGACACCAGTTTACCTTGGGACTATTGGCATGGCTAGTTGGAGATTCAGCTTGCCTTGATTCTAGTGGTTTTCAGGAACTTTCAACACAAGGAGGAAAGGTCTTTAATTTATTACGATCTTTACTAGAGAACAGCTGGTGCTTACAAACCTGCATTCCCTAGACCTGGAAGAAGTAGAGACCCAGAGATGCATGTGGGGAGCCTTGGCCAGGAGCTTTCTCCCTCCACCCTTTTTCTTTCTCTCCTTTAATGCAGTGGAATTGAATAGGAAATGTCAGAGTCCTTTTCAGGTAGCAAGGGAAAGGCTCATTTTGTGAACCACCTGTTTCAGTAACTTGTGTCACCCTGTGTGTGTGCACACAAGTACTGGCTCAGGATGTACAGTGTAGTTCTTATTGGGGTTTGTGGGCAAAAGGTTTAAGACACTGCTTTATGTGGCCTTCCCCAAGAAAGTGATACTTGCATTGAATACGAAGCTACCAGGAAATAGGTGCATAGAAGAGGAAGAGGGAGCCTGGCAGTGCCAGGGTGTGGCTGTGCCCACCCAGTTCACAGACCCTTGGCTCTGTGGCTGCCCACTACAACTGCCCACTCCTGGACTTAAGGACTGCACCTAACTGTGCTCCTGAGAATTCAGTCCGTCTCTGTTGCCCCCGCCCAGGCTTGGCACCCAGTAGGGGCCAAATCAGTGGCAGTCAGGATGCTAGCTCATCCCGGGTTTCAGGTCCCTGGTCCATGGCAGATTTTTGGCCGTAGGCGCTCAGTGAACACCTGCAACGGCCCGTTGCCCACCTCCACCCCAGACGGCAGACTCCGACTTGCCTGGCCAGCCCAGGCTTGAGGCAAGGGAAGGGAGCCATGACTATGGGCCACCTGGAGGAGGTGGCCTTTCCTGCAACAGGGGCCCTGCAGACCCTCAGGGCTCTTGAGGAGAGCACCCCCCTCGCCAGTCGGTGAGCTCATAGGGCGGGGGGCGTCGCCAGGCGGCCGGGGCGCTGTAGCTCACGGCGCGCCCCCGCCCCCCCCGCCCCCGCCCCCGGCTCCTGGGCGATTTTACCAATTAAGGCTTTCTCGCCGGGCCGGGCCGGGCCGGGCCGGGCGCGGGGCGGGGGTGCGGCCAACAAGAAGGCGGGCGGCGGCGGCCCATTCGCGTGGAGGCGCGCGGCGCGCAGCGGACGCCAGTGGAGCCCCGAGGCGCCCGGTGCGGGCTCACAGGCAAGCCAGGCGCCACCCCGTGGTCGCCAGCCGTCCGCAGGACAGCAGGTGAGGCCTCCGCGGCCGGCTCCGAGCGGGACGGTCACGGAGCTGCTCGCAGACCGAGGGCGGGGGTGGCGAAGTCCGGCGGCGAATCCTGAGAACTCAGGCGCGGGCGCGCACCTAGGCCGGGGCCAGGTGCAGCTGGGGTGCCTTCCCTTGGGGCCGACTTACCTGGTTTACCTGAAAATCTGTGTGTGCCTGGGAGTGTGGGAGCCCTAAGTCATGGGGGTCCCTGACAGAGGGGGAGTCTGAGCGTTTGGCAGGACACAGGCTCTCCTGCGCGCCGGTGAGCTGGCCACTGCATGGCTATCTGGGAAGGAGGGGCCCAGAGAGCAGGACATTGTGTGGGCTGAGGGCGAGTGGCCACGTGGAAGGACAATTCACAGCCAGTATGCTTCCTGGGAGGGCGACAGTGGGCTCCTCGCTGGCACCAGTCCTCTAGGTACCAACTGCTTTGGGCACAGGGAGTTGGCTGCCAGGCTGCTGTGCTCTGTGGGAGGTCAGGCAGGGGTGTGGCCCACACAGGAAGCAGGGGCTCCTCCAAGAGGCCAGATTCCCAGGCTGGGTCCTGTCCCAGGTTGGCTCAGAGCTGGATGTTCACTGCCAGCCAGGATGCAAGCAGCAACATCCCCAGATTCCCATGCCACCTGGGTCCAGGAGAAGTAGGTGAAATCCGATGGGAGAGCCACCAGTGTGTGCTCCAGGGTGCAAGTCAAGATGGGAACTCAGGA